ATGCTTAAATATGATTAAAAAAATATACTTGGCAATCAATCAGTCGGAACGTCGTCGCTTCGACTCCCACGTAGCAAAATATCACAGTTCCACCCATTATCTCTCAATTCCCAAATTTCTTTCCTGCTCAGCCGCCTAAGATCAAGAAGCAATGATACTCTCACTCGTTCAAACCGCTTCAGTGTCCTACTTGTGTTCCCAATCAACGATTCCTTTCCTCTTCAATCCCTCTGGTTTGCTGCTTCAAAAGTCCATCTTTACTGGTTCCAACTTAACTCTCCACCGAATTTCGCATCACACCAAGACTTGGAAGAATGGGTCTGCGCGTGCTTCCCTGCTTGAGAGCCCTGTCTTATGGGCCGGTCGAATTTGTGTCTTCTACGCACTCGTGAAAGCTGGCTTAGCTGGATCCAAGTCTAACCCCATCGTTTCTGGTTAATCAATTTTGACTTCTCTAGTCTAGTGTCTTTCAATCCTTTCTTTGTTTATTATAACTCATGTTATTGGGTAATAATCTCAGGGTTGGAGAGTGGTGGTGTTGATTTTGAAGATGGTGGTGTGGATCTTGGTTTCTCAAAGTGGCTTCAGACAATAAAGGGCAGACCAGGTTTGTTTCAACACATCTGTCTCTAGGATTTATGTCCAAGTATAGAGCTTTGATATTGTCTAATGACTGCCATTTCAATTTGTTCCAATTGCTAGTCTTGTGTGGTCTGTATTAGATTGAGCTATAGTTTCGGTTTCGATATTTGAGGAATAAAGAGACAGTCTTGTGTATTTAATATGGTCAGAAAAGGATGGAGGTGATAAGAAGAAGCTAGTGAGCAAATGGCACCCGACGACAAAGGGGACACTTAGAAGGAACTACAGGGTACCTTCGAAAGGCGAAGGAAATCGTCTGCTCAAAGCCATTGCGTCTCTTCTCTCAGACGATGATCACTTTAGAGATGCAACATCTCACAAGGTAACAACAAAACACACCATTAACAAATCTCACTTGTTTCTCTCTGCATTCGGTTAATATAACCAAATTGAGACACTTATGAAGGGTTGTCAAATACGGCGGGAGAGTGCGCATGGTCAAAGTGTATGTTGCAACAACGTGAGGGCTCTGTTTGATGAGTTACCGACGCCACATTTGGTGGTTGAGATCACACCTTTTCCAGCTGGCCCGCTTACAGAGAATGATTACCTTAAGGCCGAGAAGCTGGAAAGGGTTCTGAGGTCAGGCCCCAACATTTGAATCCTCTAGCAGTTAGAGAGAGTGTTCTACTAGTTGAATTCCAGAATGTGTACATACTCGGCTTATTTGCAGATGTTCAAATGTTTTGAGACCTATGGAAGTATTAGTTTTTCGTCAAGCATATATTATTATCGTTATAAAAAGATCGTCTTAAGGTACGTAGTTGCACATAAGAGTCTTCCTCTGCAAACAATTAAAACTTCGAAAATATTTTTACACAGGTATCCATATTGAGCATTGTGGATGATTTTATCAGGCCATTTTTAATGTAACTATGAAAGATACAATACAGTCACAAGAAAATATAAATGCAGAACAGAATTTTCTCAAGTGATCTTCAATAAATCTTACCATTTGATAAGCCTTGGAAAGTGTTTACAAGGAAGAAGAAGGAATGAGCTGAGCTGGCGAGTCAACGGAAGGTCAAAGAAGTGAGCTCGCAACTATTGATTGGATCAGAAGAGAGAGTCAGTTAGACAGTTGGGAGGTTGTTTGTTTCGTTGTAAAGATAAGATTTTGTAAAGAGAAAGCCTCTGATATCAATAGAGGATCTCTAATAGCTGTTGGATTCATTCAGAAAAGTGGCATCTTAACACTACACTTGTAACAATTCTATTGAGGAATAAAGGATTCTCTCTGTTTCTCGAAGAAAGCTCTTATCACCATTAAAATCACAGAAGACAAGTGCAGCTAGCTATTGCATTTATACATGGAAAATGATTAAAAACTTGACTTGTCAATTAAAGATAATGGGACAGTCCCTTTTAAAGTTCTCCAGTCATCCTGAAGCAGCAGTCCCTATTGCAGAAGAGTATGAACCCCAAACAAAACAATGTTCTCTCTGTTCCACAATATTGAAAAGACAATAATGGGTCAAGCGTCGCTAGGTGAAAAAGGGTCATATACTTGATGCACACCAGCTTTGAACCGATGGTCAATCTGTGGTTGGCCTCTAGGGATCAGGTTATCTTGATGAAACACTGGTCTTTGACGGGCTTGAGCTCCAGGGAAGTTCCTAGGCATCATTTGGGGCAGTGTAGGTCCAAAGTTCTGCGAGTTGGGTCTAAAGTTCTGCAAGTTGGAAGATCTCACGTTACCATGAAATAGTGCAGGTGGGTAGCTCAGGGGTTGATCCATGTGCCTGCCAAAGTGCTGTGATCTTGCAAAAGTTTGCTCAAAATGTTGAGACGCTGGAGTGACGGATGGAGTTTGAAATGCCAGATGAGGGAGATGACCTGATTGAGAGTTGGGTCTAGGAGATATCTGCGAAAAGTTTAATTGTTGTGGAAGGAAACCAAAATCCCCTTGAGCTATATTAGTGGGAGGATTTCTGGTAGGATAAGTAGGAAGAGGACCAGTAGGCCTGCCAGCTACCTGTGTTGACATTGACATGTGACGCAGAGAACCACCAGAAGCATATTCTGCTTGGTGTTTCAGATTGATACTCGAGGGAAAGGGAATTGATGGTAGTTCAGTACCTGGTTGATGAGCTACTGAATGTGGGCTGAAGTTAGGAGCCAGAGGCCGTACTGATTGTCCCATGTTGCTTGAAACTATGTCTGGCAACAGCATTGGTCTAAATACACTGGTCTGTAAAGGTTGGAAAGTCGATAGGGTCGGCCGCCTCATAGTAGAACCTGGAGGTGCGGTCGAAAAGCCCAGTTTAGATACCGATCCCTGTGGGGCAACCACAGAATAGGCCCTTGATGAGCTGGAAAGGCTTAGAGAGAACAAATCTGGAGGACGAGGGACTTGAGAACCAGGAGGTAATGATGCGTTATGAGAAATTGGAAGTGGTTGCTGAGCAAAAAGGGGGTTGGGGTTCATAGAATTGGTAGGAATTTCTTGATCATGGACATGATTACCAAGAGTTGGAGCAGAGGGATTAAGAGATGGATCAAATGCTTGATTTGAAGCCAAAGGAAAAGAGGAACTATGTTGATGGAACTGGCTTTGTGGAGGTTGTACAGAGCTATTAGTGGGCTGTTCAGAGCATGGTTCTGTAGGTGTCGCATTTCTGTTGCCTGGAATGGTTGAAATGTCTTCCGATCTAGAAGATGGAGGAGCAGGACCAGCTCCTGTATTTCCCTACAAGGGAAAATGATACAATCTGAGAATCATTTGGAAAACTGAGACGTCAAATAACAAATCTTATATTGTAACTCTTTTATATAAGGTTTAGTTAGAAACTCACAGACACTGAAGAGATAAGTAGCTCAATTACAGCAATAGCTGCATCCACTTTTTCGTAAGTATCAGATGATATCTGAAAATATAACTCTTGCCAGGAAGCCTGGATCTCATTTTCATCTGAAGGAGAAAGTTCAACCTGTACATGAGAAGAATAATCAGCTTAGGAAAACACTTGCTATAAGAATACATATCAATTTTCAAGGACCAGCACGGAGAGGCAGAGCAACAATAATAAGATTCTGTTATTGTCATCTCGATAATAGTTTATTCCAGTATTACCTTCTCTCCTCCTGTTTTAGCACCAAAAATTTGTACTCTGGCTCCAGTCTCCTGTTCCCACAATGAAAATCACTTAGCTTGTATACAGAATTGGATTGAATGGTAATCAATTTGCCTAGGGAAACTAAGGAGGAAATGCGAGAAAGAGACACAAAAAGGATGTTAACTCAAGGCACATAAGGGACTATAGCTGCAAATATAGCAGTAATGACATTTGTAGGTTACTTACTATTTCAAGCCGCTTCTGAGTATCACCTTGGGAACCAAATATGTGACTTAGAAAGCTGAAATCAGAGTGTTCTTTGACCTGCAAAAGCACAGGTCCATAAAATATCAACCTCGAACAACTGTGTTGATACATGACCTTAAGAAAATAGAATCCAAAAGGCACAAGGTCCATACAAGACTTTCTAGCTTCTGTGAGGTAGTAAGTAATACATAACATGAGAAAACAAATTGCAATATATGATAAAGCTTAAACCCTCTAACCAAGTAAGAACTTACATGGATCGGCAACCTAGCTTCTTTCAGCAATGGCTTATAATTAGGTGGAGCCTTGTACCTTGGATTCAACTCAAGAATCTCCCCTAGAATTGAAGAAACAACATTTCACCAAAGGGAAAAGGCGAATGTGAAGACGGAAGGAGGAAGATTTTAACATACCAATTACTTCGCGTTTTTCAAGCTCCAAATGTTGAGCGATCTTGATCCATAAACACACATGGATGACAGAAAACATACACTCTTAAATAGCTAAAAGAAGCGAAATCAAGAAGAAAAGGTGCTGAAAAATCACTTACATCATTGTTGTTCTGTGACCTTCTATTAGTCTCGGCTTCAAGAGTTCCTGATTCCAATTGCTGTGTAATTTGATCAAGGCGTTTCTGTTCAAAATCCAAACACACTAATTAGATTTCAGTGAATTCGAAGCAAATTTGTGCTAAAGCAGCACTTGATCTAGATGAAGTATACCTGGTAAGCTAAAGCTTTAGCCTTCTTGACTGCAGCATCTTGTGCGAAATCAGGGCCCCATTTAGTCTTCCTCTTCTTCCCGAGCACCTCCGTATTCGTATGGGTACCTCCGAGACGTTGAAAAATGGGGATCAATGAACCAGATAATTTGTTTTTAGGGATAACAAAACCAGACTTAGCACCAAACATTGAGATCTTCCCACCGCTAGTAGAAGTCATCTCCGAGAGTTAGGAGTAACGTAGCGGCGGAGAGGAGACGGAAGGGACCGTCTATGAATGTGAAATTCCGCCGCAGCGTTTCTTTTTTCCCCGTCGAATTTCCAGAAAATCTGAGAATCACGTCGTCCAGGGTTTCGACTTTGAGCTTCGTTTGATCTCTCAGAAGCGGAAGCGGAAGCTGAATCAGGAGCTGCCGTACCTATGCAAGAGGTTCTCCTAAATGAGTCAACCTTTTTTTAATTCAACTACACTTTGTTTTTGGATTTGTAACTCG